TAAGGAGAAAAAAAGCCATCACAAATATTTGATGCGAAGAAACCCCTGCAATAAGGATGACAGTGCATGCCAGATATAAATCTGCTAGTCTGGTAACAAAAAAAAGCAACAGCACAAGTTGAAGTGACATATACAGAGCACAAGTTGATTGGCTTCTTGAAGACGATTTGCCTTGTATACCTCTTACATTTGCACACGTTATTTAAACATTCTTCCAACTTCAAAGAGCAAAATCTCCTCCTGAACTAGCCTGTGCTATTGCCTAAGAGTAAATTGAAATCTTCTAACAATAACAACATCAACTTAATTAGATGCTTCAATCTCATCAGAAAGGGTGACTGCAGGAAGTCAGCCAGGAGCACTGAAAACCTGTGTACGCAGTTTCCTCGCTGTTGACTCCAGAGGCTTGCAAGGGCTTCTGCTCTTAATGCAAACGCTGAATTCCACAACTGAACATTTTTATCAGAGGATTTCTAACCTCCTTAATGCAAGAGAACAGAGATAATATTTACAACCTAAGCACATGGCAAGAAATAACAGATGGGTAGAAACAAACAGATGGGTGAACACAAGGTAACAGCGAGATGTTTACGATCAGCATTAATAAACAGCTGCCACAAGTAGATGACCAACATCAGATCTCCTTTCAGTTGCTCCTTATCTGTCACAAGAGTCCTAAATCACAATCCCTAATGTATTTATTTTAATAGCTCTTCTCTGGTCTTTTACTTCTCGACTCTACAGTATTTTGTACCAAGGCGTTGAAAGTTGGCCACCTTTGTTCTAAAGTGGATGCAGCAGGATTGGAGTCCTTCATCATAGCAGTCACTGGAAACTGCAGAACTAATTCCAAATTATTCACCCTGTCTATCAGTCACCGCTTTTAACCACAGCCAGTGAATAGCAGCAAAAATTCTCCTGCACCTTATTTGCCCAAATTTAGTCTTGGCTATTAACACAAACCAGAGATAGTTATATGCTAGAACGTGAGCTGGGGAAGCAGAGATGCAGTTATATGTTCCCTTCCTAACTGATTAGTAGTAACGTGCTAGCTAAATTTACTTAGTTTAAAATGGTTATGGCTCACTGCTGTCTGTCCTGAATGTTATAGCGACAACAAGGAAAAAACTATTTCTGCTTCATCCACTCCATATTAAAATGGATGTCCACATGGGATGTGGACACAATCTTGTTCTGTCTTGTGTGAGAATAGTAACTTCCACAGAGCCCAGGACAGATAGTGAGGGGAGTGCCAAGGTCCCTGGTGATGAAGACAGACGACTTTTTTTTTTTTTTTTAATTTTTTTTAAACCTTCATAGCACAATTAAAAAGTTTCCCAACCATTACTTATCCAAACTGCATGCAATGTTTCTTGATGTGGAACACAAAATAATAAGAAATCTTCATCCTGGCCTATGCCACTGAAAATTAATCCAGTCTTCCTGTTTTTGTCTATAGTTTTTAACTTCTCCTGAAAGCTTGCTGAGAATAATATCCTCAAAATCAAACAGCTCTATTGCTGTGCTTAAAATAGGACTACAGAGAAATGACTGCTACCTCATGCTGTTTGCATAATGTCAACAAATTATACATGTGCTCCGTTCTAATAGCTAATACCTGCATAAAACAAATTACTTTCATCGCTGTTATAGTTCCAGACTCTATAGGTTAAAACTTAATTTTCTATTACATTTATGGAGCTTAATAAAACATGGTGGCTTAGCCCACCAGAACATAAAACCTTTTCCCAGTGTGACAAAAACACTTAAAACATTTGTCTCTATTATTTCTAACTTCCCTGTAACTAGCTGCTCTGTCAGAATGCCTTTTTTACCTACTCAGTGTCCTTGAAGCTTACCCCAAGGATTCATTTTCACACAACACTCTAAGATGATACTGCAGACAGTCAACTAGGAGCTACGGCTGCCTCAACCTCCCACATGGTCCTCACTTGCCTAATTAAATATTCATTACTCCATAATGTTGCGGTGTCAAACAAGAGCAACTTCCCAGCCTGACCTTCCACAGCCAGCCTGCGGTTTGTGCTGGAGAATAAACGAGACTGGGACTTACCTGCTGAAATATAAATGACATAATGCAGTTTTCATGTTGCACATTAAGTTCTGTGCAATGTAAAATTCTCACTGCAGAATCTAGAGTACTATCTTTTAATGTTCAATATAAACTGAGTATCTGTATGCAAAGCTAACTATAAAACCTGCAGGGGCAGTGTTATCAATAATCTTTCTGCAGAACACTAAAGCCTTTTATTCCTTATTACACAGATCCTGTTTTATATGTATGGTCATATCTTCCAACTTAAAAAACAAACCAATGCTGAGTATTCTCAAATAAATCAAAAAAGATTGAGGCATACTACTATCAACAAGTATCTGAGATTATTTTTTTTGTGGCTTTGGACTCCTATCTTAGTTTCATATACCCCATTTATATGAAATTTGCGTTTTGCCTCCAAGACAAAAGAATTTATTAATTCCAAATCTCTCCTCTCTGTGGAAAGAATATCTGGAGTTATTATAACTTATTTTAGTTGTACTAGATTCTGTACATATTTACATCTGTATTTAATGGAAGAGAAAGCTGAACTGAAAAAAATCAGAAGGAATCAACTTCCCTGCTATAGAAACCATAGCCTTAACAGTCTATAGGTTCCATAGATCTTTCAAGATTTGATATAACTACAGCATATCCATATTATGCCCATATGCAATAAGAATATTGAAAAGCTTGCATTTTGACCCCAACAGGTACATTAACCTGTTAAAGAAAAATATATCAGAAATTGGGTGCAAATATCTTTTGTTTATGCATACTATGTATGCAGCGTTCTTAAGACAATGGAATAGTCATTGCACCAAATCAGCTATGAGAATTCTGTAAGCATAATAGATGAGTATGTACAGCTTGGGCCAGTAAGTAAAAATATTAATGAGAAGTATGCTTTCGCTAACATATGTATGTATATGCATTTATATAAAATATACATATGGTTTAAAAAAAGTTAGATTTCATAGCTGCAGTAACTTATTCAGTCATCTGTGAGAACCTTTTTACCCCTAGGAGTTCCCCATAAATGGTCAAAACTTACATTTCATCTTCTCAGTCAAGGGCTTCCCTACAGTTTTCAAGGATTTTCTTTCCCCTGGCATTTTTTGCTAGTCCAAAACAATTGTGGATGCTGTAGAGGTTGCAGGTGTGGCTTGATGCCCTGATTAAACAAAAAGTTAAGATTTAAACGTGCAAATCCTTAAGTCTTCACATCCTTAATCTGGCATGAATTGAAATGCATTTGGGTGAATATGCTGCAGCATTAGGGAAAAGAAAGATAGAGAACAGATGATACAGCCCAAACATCTCTTCAAAGCCTACATCTTGGTTGAAGTAATTTTGAACCGCCGTCCTTCATCCAAAATTTGATTCTGCTAATTATTTTATATGAAGTACCAGTGTTGAGAGCAAGTTAAACTACCATACTGCTAGACCTGTGGTGCCTGTCTTTTCCCTCCTAGCAGGGTCCTGCAGATATCGAGAAAACAGTCTGTCAGCATTCCTGTGGGATCCTTCAGTAAAGCCCTTTGGGGAACACGAGCAGTTACTTGTCTACTCCAGATTTTCCAGGACTGGAGTGATTGTAATACTGGCCTACAGATCTTCCTCCCACATAATACAGGTGATTAGCTCTCCCAAAGTATGCAAAATTTAACTCTGACAAGTAGGAAAATCATTTTAAATAGACTTGGAATTGATCTGATCATATCTATGGTCTGATAAACCTGAACTGAACCCTGCTCACGGGTAACAAGAAAGGTTTATATATGCTCAAAACTCTACCAATCTAAACTAAATAACAATTTTTCTACTCTGCACATGTATTTTCATTACAGGCAAATTAAAACACATTCCAAAAATTATTTTATCATCATCTCCGGTCAATTGGAAATTCATCTGGGTTTCATGTTACAGATGAAGCCTGAAGAAGCTACCCACTGCGCGCTTCAGACAGGAAACGGTGATCGAGGATACAAATCAGAGAGTAGCATACCCATTTAGCATTGCTGGCCCTGTAACGGAAGCATATGAGTCTGCATTACAGTCTTGAAGTTGCATACTACATACAGCTGGTAGATTTGATGGCCTTATACAATACCTATGCAGTATCATCATTTGTCTTCCTACCTCCTACCACACATTCTTTTGTGATGATATATATACCACCATTTCTCCAAGAAGTATGATGTGCTGGAGAATGGAGTTAATTTTCTTCATAGTAGCTAGTATGGGGCTGTGTTTTGGATTTGTGCTGGAAACAGTGTTGATAATACAGGGAGGTTTTCGTTACTGCTGAGCAGTGCTTACACAGAGTCAAGGCCTTTTCTGCTCCTCACACCACCCCACCAGCGAGCACGCTGGGGGTGCACAAGGAGTTTAGCGATAGGACGAGAGGAAATGGCCTCAAGTTGTGCCAGGGGAGGTTTAGATTGGATGTAAGGAAAAATTTCTTTACTGAAAGAGTGGTGAAACATTGGACCAGGCTGCCCAGGGAAGTGGTGGAGTCCCCATCCCTGGAGGTATTTAAAAGACGAGTAGATGAGGCACTTAGGGACATGGTTTAGTGGACATGGTGGTGTTGGGTCGACGGTTGGACTCGATGATCTTAGAGGTCTTTTCCAACCTCAATGATTCTATGATTCTATGATCTTTGTCTTGCGTGACTTACTTCCTACTTATAACCATCAACATTTCAGTTTTTATCTTTGCTTTTAGCATCAGAATATTAAAAAAGCTGCTTTTATCAGCAAACATATGTCCTACGGTCTAAGTCGTGTGAAACAATTTAAGATGTTATACTTCAGAGGCAAACAGCAAATCTTACTAAATGAAATAAGATGAAATAAAAATTACATAAAGCAACTTCTGTTTTCCATTTTCCCTCCTTGTAGACAAGTGGATGGTCTAAAACAGAGAATTGCAGGAAAATCTATCCCAACTGAGAAATTTGCAGTAAGGAAAGCTCGACGCTATGCAAGTTCTCAACCAGTGAAGCTGATATTACCCGCCTTGGTATTTATGCTTGCTTTCTTTTCGTCCTTTTCAAATAGAAAAGAAATAAGTATAACTCATTATACAGGGAAAGAATAATATTATCAGGTAGTACATGTCTGCATTTTTTTTAATTACTTTTTTAAAGAATTATTGCACTCATGCGATGGGACTTTTGTGAAATGTATTAGGGGCTGGATCATGCTACCAGCTACTAGCAGTCCAAAACCAGAGCCAGATTTTTCATGTGAAAGTTTGCACATACGGAGAATGATTGCTGTTGCCACATCAGGCTGAAAGTCACCTTTCAGCTAGAAACCTGCATTGGGTTTCTAGCATATGTGTTCATGTTCTTCAGTTTGGTAGGATTTCAGTCCTTGTCCTCCAGACTCATTAGGAAGTTAAGGAGTACTTCAGCACTTTCTGTTCTTCTGGTGAAAATGAAGAGTGGTGTTTTGGTTTTTTTGTTTTTTCTTATATTGAGTCTGACTAAAATGTGCAGAAGTTAATGATACTTTACTAATGCTATTCTAATTTCCCATGCTTTTAACTTCAGAGGCAGTAGTAGTGCACAGTCTATGTGTGCACAGCAATGATACTTTGCGTGTGTGTACGCTAAAATTTTTATACATGGATAATTTAGCAACAACTGAAGATGAAAAACATAATTTGAGAAGGAATTTCTTATGTTAAAGCTCATTGATATAGAAAGAGGAGTCCAAAGAAAATTAATCTGTCAGTTTTAAAATTAATTATATACTCAATTATATATAAAGACCAAAGTAATAAAGTTGTCTTGGGCTTGTATAGCATAATGCTATTTAGTTGTGAGTATGTATCTTTGGTCTTGCTGTCAAATCCAGTATCTTTTCATTTAAGAATTTTTCCATCATGGGTTAAGTAAAAATAAACTGTGTGGTGTTACTGCAGTAAGCATAAATTAGGCAGGACTACAGAATTGAAACAAACCTAGCATAATGTAGTTGATAGTGTCAATAACACTATTTCAGACTTTGATAGAACCAGTTTTTTTCTCCCTGTGAAAACCCACGTAGTTACAGCACAAATGTAAGCGAAATATTTCAACAATGTATTGTGTCAGCTTCAGAATGACATCAGGCTTCATATTTCAGAGGTGTAATTACAATTCAAATACTGTAGAACAAATGATACTCTTGTGTTTGCGATGATTAAGTAAAGATTTCACGAAGTTTTGTATTGGTTAGCATTAACTCTGTAAACATATTCTCTTTATGTGTTACAATGTGATAATATTTAATGCATCGAAACAAGCATATTGCTTACTGTTATACTGAAGCATCTGGGAAGCTTTGTGCCAGGATTTGCCTTGATTTCTTTTTTTAAAAGTAAGATTTTGTAGGAATTATATTGGAAGTGTGTTGTTGGATGTATGTACTGGAACCACATTTTTATCCAGAAAGTTTTATCAACTTCCAGTGTTGCTCCACGTGGAAGGTAACAGCCTATAGATTATAGCATCTATATATAAATGCGCACGACTGTGTGTTTGGGTGCACGCATATATATACCGTATATACATGCACACACCCACAAATACACACACAAATTTATCTGTAATCCTGTAGGAAGTAACTACTTTAAGCTACTTCTGCATATGGCAGAGCCCACAAGTTGAACCCAGAATACCCAGTTTTGCTGATGTGTTACATGGGTGATGGTAAACTATCACATGATAAAATCTGTTCAGTTTTGGTTTTAAAGATCTATGAAAATACATGATAGAATCCATTAAAAAGGTGTCAAAACATTCAAAACTTAGAAACCCAGGTTAACTTTGCCCACATACATTCAGTGTCATTTTGCATCCCCTATGCATAGATACTCTTATGCAACTTTAATTAAATGATTATTAAGGCAAATGTGATTGTCTTTGTCGGTTATGTGCAAGTTTACAATGTCCTGTACTCCTTGTGAGTGGTTATTTGAAGTTGTACAGATACTTTTATTCATGGGCTTCTCAACAGTGAGTCTTTTGGCTTTGAAGCCTTTCATATTGTTTAAAAGAAGTTTTTGTAGGCAGTATTTTTATGTACTCCAAAATGTTCCATAACAGCCTTCCAAGTGATACTCTTTAGTTAAATATTTATACAATTCCATGAGTTTGTCTTGTTTATTTTTTTTTTCCAGGAAATGATGTATGTCTGGAATGGCTTTGCAATTGTGGGCAAAAGAGCAGACCTCACTGAAAACTTACTGGTAACAATTGAAAAAGAAGAAACTGCTCTACAAAATGAAACTAGTAAGTGATCAGTTGAGATGGAATTAATAAGCTGGTAAGAAGTGCTGACATTTTTCTTTGCTTCTGTCTACTAATGTTCTGTGAGGTAAGCGTTGACTCAGGCAATGTGCTATTAAATCTGAGTATAGAAATTTCGGAGCTGCATGAAAGTTAGCGGTGGTCCTTCAATATGTTCTTTATCCGGCTTGATTGGTGCTGCAGAAAGATACAGAAAACTCGAGGATGTGAGGTTATTATTTACAGAACTTAACTGATTCTTACTAAGACATTCCAGTCTCTGAGAGCATTCTTGGAACGTAATCCGCTAATTTCTTAAATGCCTGAAAAACACTTTTTCTAAACCAATTTACACCACACTTTAACTTTACTACAGAGGACACATACTGAGCAGAATATGACTAAGTATAAAGGAAGTAATGAAGTAGTATGCATGAGTCTGGTTTTTTACTTTCTGGCAAAATGAAACATGTTTGCTAGTTGTAAAATAAAACATTTTTAACAAACTTTGACCATGGCTTTCGATCTTGATGTATTTGAAGCATAGATGTTCAGGATAATGTTTAGAGAATCGGTCCATATTATTAAGTTCCTAAAGGAACTTAAGTTCCATTATTACAGCAGGTTTACTGCAGAAGTGCCTGGCTTTATCAGGTTTTATCAGGCGAGTGCTGTCATCTGTCATGTGAACTTCTCAGTAGACTTCTCTTCTGAGTTCTTCTAGAATGAATAAATATTATCTTTTCGCACATGAAACTTTTTTTAATGGTAATTCACTAAAAGTAATTTCTATTGCACCCAGATTTTAATCACACTTATCAACAACTTAGCAAAAGTTACTTTTTCCACATGATTAAAACATTAATTATGAAATGTAAAAGTACATCTAATTATGACTTACATATAAACTGAGGTGATGCATCAGACATTATACAAGGACATATAAGAAACTCATAGTGGTAAAGTCTGGATGGTATAACAAACTAAATGAGAGTGACTTGCAATGCCAAGACTGAATTGGGTCCCTTAATTTTTTTTTTCTACTGTTCTTCACCTTTCTGCAGAATCAGTAGTGTGCCTCTTAAATCTTAAGTGTTTTTCCTTTTTTTGTTGTCGTATTAAAACCAAAATGTAGCAATATGCAAGATGTGCAAATAAAGTAATGTTCCCATGAGTTCTGTGCGGAGTGTTCTGGCAGAAGCTGTTGGGAACTGGGGGCTGTATCATGCAGAGGCTTGTATTGTAAGTGCTAATCAGTTGTAACAGTGAAGTAAATTTCCTGTCAAATTCCTAAGCAGAGATGCACAAGGTACCAAAATAAAAAGAACAGAAATAAATCCAGAATGTTTTTCTTATGGAAATATGCAGTTTACAAATAGGATGTAATCTGAAAGTATATTTGGTTTTTATGCTTTCTATATCTTTTTTAGTAATAACTGCAGTCAAATGTAGTTTTGTTCTGGACTTTGCATCTGTGAGCCTGATTTGCTTTTAAAGATATGGACTCAGACAAGATAAAGACTGATTACCAGAATTGCTGCTGAACTGAGACCCAAAGAAAGTGATTAAGGCTATTAGCAGAGTGTGGCAAGGATACAATATTATTTTAAGAGACAGCTATCAGTACTAGATAGCTTGAAAGGACTGCTAAGGTGCTGTAAAGAAGTGTGTTAATTATACACAAAGGTCATTTAGGGATTGAGACTTCTTAGAGAGAGCTGTTGATACTTCATTTGCTTCAAGTGAACAGGCACAGCAAGGAATCTGTCAAGGATTGAAAGTGGTTTTATGTTGTATGGAGCTGAAAATAGAGATGGTAGAAGGAACAGATGAGGGACATTAGAAATGATTTTTTTTTTTCCCTCAGGATTTTTGGAAATCTTATTTTTCCACAGTTGTGTCATCTCCAAGATATAAAAAGGAATTTGTAATTTCAAGAAAAATTCATTTCTTGTGTGTTTTATAATCCTGATAATGATATTTCCCCTGGTACAGAGGACTGCAGGAAGGTGGTTCTCCCACATTTATTGCAAGGTTGTCTGTATTAAATTGGCCTGTGCATTTACTGTCATTTACTGTCAGTGTTTTGGCATAATAGCTTTCCTTCCTGTGGGAAATACCAGGGAGATACTAGATGAAGTTGTTAAAGACTGGCAAGCTTTTACCAACATCAGTGCTTGCCCCAAGTAATTTCAATGAATGAGTCCTTTAGGAGACAGTCACATGAATCCAATACCTTACTCTAGCAAAACAGGCTAGAGGGAATGCAAAATACTCGCCCACTGCACTTCTACCTGTCACTAAAAGTGCAGTCTGTCAGTTATTATATATCGAGACTTTCTGGGTTTAAACACAGACAGAAATAAGCCTGAATGTAGTGGCAAAGCACTTCACTGAATTCTAAGATGCTTTAGTCTTGCATGTTTCAGAATGGTAGGATTTTTTTGGCAGACTACTAAGAAAAAAAATAACATGACCTTAGAGAGCTGGTAATTAGTTGTAAACAACATGATCTGAAGGGAGAGTGTTTTGCTTCCTGAATTGTTAATGTATGTGCCGCCATCTGTCTATCCATACGTGTGTTCTTTCCTTTCTTTTCCTTCCGTGCACCCAGCAAATGCTATAAACCAAGGCAACAAAAAAGGACCACACTTGGTAAGGTTATATTTCTGAATCGCTTCTCAAAAGCTTTTTCATCTGATATTTTTAGTCCTATTGAACATAAAACTTCCTTGAATTTTCCAAATGTTGTACACTACTAATGAAGCTTCTTAATCATTAGAGATGATGGGAATACTAATAAACATACTTTCTTGAATTTGTACTGCCAGATAATACTTCCATAAAGTTTTGCAGGACAGAGTCCTAGCGTGTTCTTGTGCTTTTTACATTACTGGAGGTCTGCCAGTGCTCTGCAACCGGGGAAGCTATTAAGATAATGTGGTGCGGAGGAGGTTTCAGTCTCATTGTAGGTTTTGCTTCCTGTTTTAAATGTTACAAGTACAGAAATCTTTAACTGATACCAGTTTATGCCTGCTTTGTACTGACTTCCAGATACAGAAGACTGGGGAATATCTGGATGTTTCAATCTGTTCTTATTTCTTCTTAGTCTGTATCTTTAAAGAGAAAGATACAGATGTTATGCTCACATCTTCTTTAGTAGACAGTATTTAAAATTGTGCTTGAAGGTTATGTATGTTTTGAGGTATAAAATCTGAGAAGCAAGGTCCTGAGTCTGAATACATATTCCCTACTGAAAAATCTAATTTTCCTTTTTGTGTTGTCTTCAAATTGTTTGATGTATCTCGCTTTTACTTTCAGATCGCAATGAATACTATATGGATGATGTGTGCATGTTGCAGTTACTGAAGGGCCTCTGCCTGAAACACTTGGGAAGACTCATGCAAGCTGAACTGTGTTTCAGTAAAGTAATTCAAAGGTAAAAATAACTTAAACAGACTTTTAACCTTTATATTTTGTAGCTTTGGGTGAAATTTCTGATACTCCTGTAGAAGCTGTCATGTTAGAATTTTGAATAATTAAACTTCAACTTCCTGTTAAGGAGCTGGAATTAAAATACCTCTGAAACTAGTTGGAGAACCACAAAACTTTGCTAATATTTTTCTCTAGCAATAACATATAGCTTTGTGTAAATATGATGTTTTAGACCAAATAAATCAAACGGACTGGTAACGCATTTATCTAAATACATTTGGAATTAGTATCTTTATATTTGCAGAACTATCAATATAAGTAAAGATAATTCACATGGATTTCCTGTTTTTCTTTCAGGATTTAGTACTTCAGTAGTTAATGCTTCTCTAGTATATGAGAAATTGTTGTTGTTGATACTTGTTTCAGTTGAAAACTTGAGTTTCCTGTGTTACAGATTTATTAAATGCTTTAGGTGTCAGATCCGTATCTACTATAATAACTTTTCTTTATATAATATTGAATCATGTACTGATTGCAGCTGTAAACTTTTTAGAATTTTTAGAGTAATTAGGCTGAAAAAGCAGTGGGGGTGCACAAGAAGCTGGGAGGGGACACAGCTGGGACAGCTGATCCCAGCTGGCCAAAGGGGTATTCCACACCTTATGACATCATGCTCAGCAGTAAAATTACAGGGAAGGTTGGCTGGGGGGCAGGGGTTTTGATTGGGCAGGGCCAGGTCGACAGGCAGATCCTCTAGTGTTAACTAGCCAAGTGGTTTCTGCTAAACGTGCATCCCAATACTCGAATGTCCCAGCACCCATTGCTCTCTAGTTTTTAACAGTCCATTGTATCGTTCAGTGCTGCTATCATTCAATTTCCCTGGAGGCTGATGCATGATAGGGGATGTGATACACCCGCTCAGTGCCGTGCTCTTTGGACCAGGTGCCTATGAGGTTCCTGTACTATGTGCTGCTAGGCATCGGTCAGTTGGTGGTAAACAATTGTTTTCATTTGCATCACTTGTATGTCTTGGGTTTTATTTCTCTGTTATTCTCCTTTTCATTACAATTTGTTATTATTATTTTATTTCAATTATTAAACTGTCCTTATCTCAACCCTCACTTTTTCTCACTTTTACCCTTCCAAGTTTCTTCCCCCCCCTCCTGCTCTGAGGGCACAGAAGTAAGCGAGCAGCTGTGTGGTGCTTTGTTGCAGGCTAGGGATAAACCACAACATGGCCAATAACTACTTGCTGCTTCAGACAAGCCTCATCTGTCCTTCTAATACTACTTCAAATCAGTCCCCAAGGACTAGAAATGGAAGGAGACAGAATCAAAGTAAATCTTAGAGATTAAAAGCAGGGGAATGAAGCAACCAGGGAATTCAATCTCACAAGTGACCCATGGGCATTAGTGAAAGACAGAGTTTTTGTTTCCCAGCTGGGAACACTCAATAGCAGGGCAAGTTCTTGGGACCACGTGCTTGAGACCTCAGGAAACCGTAGAAATTGAGTATGAAATCACTGCAGTCTTAGTGACAACAGTCTAAAAGATCTGATCAAATAAAGGCCTTAAGCATAAATCCAAATCATTTTCCAACTCTATAGCCTGAGGAAGTGAAGTAGTTTTTATTATGAACTCAGCTATTATAAAGTTACAAGTCAGTGATAATGATAACCTGTATATGATCGAGACGAGCAAAGGAAAATTTCATTAGTTGGCTGTAAATGAATTTCCAACTCTGAAGCCTGGAAGAGGAAGTTAACAGCAAGGCTGGTAATGAGGATTTCTCCCATCTCTATAGATCAGTACAAAGAACAATAATTTTTATTAATACACACACACACGTATTATATAATCAGCACTGATGCTCTGGAACATAAAGATACAGGGGAATACCACTACTTGTTTCTCTCATTGTAAGGAGAAGAAATACTACTGGAAGAAAACAACTCCTAAATACTACAGGAACGATGGTAAACTTTTCAGGTCTTATACAGTATGGGGTGAATATGAACATTACTTCTATTTAAGCCCTGCAGAAATTTCTTAGCTCATAGCAGCTCCTCTGTGTGCCTGGATATAGAACTTCAGTCACCAAGTAAAAATCGTGTTTTATATTACATACATTATGATTTCAAGCTTTTCCCCATCAGAATAGGGCAGCTACCTCTACTGCAGAAACTGTATTAAAAATGGAAGAGATAAGCTCTTCAGTCAAAAAAAAGAAATTCTATTAAGAGTTATCTTATGGAACTAGATTGGAAAAAAAAAACCCCACCTCTACAATTTCCAATACACAGGTAACTTGTCAGGTATAAGCATCTTAATTGCAAAGATGCCCTTACTAGTTTTGGTCAATAAAGAATTTATGGCACGTCATACAGTTTCCATTCTTGTCTCTTGATTAAAACTAGGTAATTCCACTCTCCTTAACTTCAAGTTGCTTTTGATTCAGTAATCACATTTTATCCTACACTGTTTTATATTATCATTAGCCAGACTCCCTCATATGATGTCTTCAGAGATAATTCAGGTTGGTCACATTTTAATAGGTTACCTCTTTTGTTTTCCACTCAATGAAAGAGGAAAACATAGAAGAGGGAGATAAACGGGTAATAGATGTTTTAACCAGTTGATTTTCTCTGAAGGCAAAACATTTATCTGAAAACACCCATAGGATTTCTTCTCCTTTTTAATATTATTGTTTCTAAATAATATATTACTTTGGCTTCCCCAGGAACATTCCATCTTTCGAGACACAAACCAAGGGGAGAAAAAACACAGCAAAACCCACGAGTGGTTTGTGCAGCTCTCTGCCTCGAAAATGATTTATAAAAAAGTAGAATAGTACCAATAGGAATACACCTTATTTCAAAACATCCTACAGTCTCAGGGAAGATTACGATACTATCCATGGAAGGATGATACCCAAGCAAAATTACTCCTGGAGGTCTCTAGTCATGAATCTGTTGCACTATGAGATCTCCTATCAGCATGAACCGTTAATATTACTGCAATTGGAACAACAACTTCTTTGTATTCTGTTTATACTATTAATATTTTAAATAAGCTAAAAATAAACTCTTGGCTCTGTAAACATATGGATCAGGTATAGGTATACAGCATGTTCCCTCTCTCGTCTGTAGCAAGATTTCATACATAACGCCTTATCTTACCACGAGAATCTGTTTGCAGTTTGCTTTCCTTCTAGAGGCTTTTTACAGAAAGATGTCCTCATCGTATAACCACTTTCATTGTTTAGGGGCAGTGCCAGTTTCTGAACTTGCTCAGTAGTATAAAAACAGTTTCCCAGAACTGCACCCACTCTGAACTTGCAGAGTGGTCAGCAGAGTGACACAGGTTTTTTGTAGTGACTAAAAATATGTTGGTAATTTGATAATCTGCTTTGATCGATTTGTATAAAACACTAAGGAATACACAGGATTTGTGGAGTAGCTAGAACAATGTCCTATACTTAAGAACATAGGTACAATTAACAGATTACTCTCCTTGTATATTCCTATCTCTACAACATCTGCGTAGATCCCTTAAGCATATGGATGGAGGAAGCAGAAGGGTATCTGTAGGTTTCATTGGGACAGAGAATGATTAAAAAAACATATTCATGCAAAACTGAGTTTGGGATTAGAGACTCAAGGCAAGGCTGGGAAGGGAAGCTCACAGGGAAATGGAGTTTCAGTTCCTTCACAGCTGTACAAAGGTTCATTAGTACAGAGAGAAACTAAGTAACTTAAATCAGATATAACCTTCCACAAACCTCAACATGCATCAGATCTTAAAGATCAGTTCTTGAATCAGCATGGATATCTATGCATTATCAGTGTTCTTTGCAAGCTTCTTTCCCTCTGGGGAAATTTCTGGTAGAAAATATGAAATTCAGAGATAATTTTTACCTCCATCCTTCCTTTGACATTTACAACACTTTAGGAATTCATTTGCTCTTCAAGGATATTTTCATCTATTAAAGAATATTTATGAGTGCTGCTTCAAAGAAAACCACAGGAATGAGAAGTCAAGCAAAAACAGAGACTGAAAATTTGCATTTGCAACTATTTATAGGTTAACTCCTAGTAAGACAAAAAGCAACACCTAAGAAGTATTAAAAACTTGAGTTAAAAAAAGATATCAGTGCATGAATTATATTCTCTTATCTGTTCAGCGTCTCAAAGTTTGATACCAAAGTACACCTAGAGAACACATAAAAAGCTTAAGATATTACTACAATTTAAATGGAAGGAAATAAATTCACAAATCAATTAAATTGAAGGCAACTGAAAAGAGTTAAAGAGAAGAGTTAAAAGTTAAAAAGCTTGTTTTTGTTCTGCTGAAATTCAGCGCTGTTCTATGTAAACCTGTGACTAATGATTTGTGAAGCAAAGATACCATGTGATTTCAGAAAAGCCTCAGAACCGATTGAGAGGGTTATAAATAAATGGTGCCATCCATATGTATCACTAGCATACATCTCCAGAGTATAACTGCCCTGCCCTTTAAAATGCTAAATTCAGTAGAGGGTTCATACCCTGGAAGTCAGGGCAGCATCTGAAGTTTTGATTTAGAGGGGATTGCACAGTTGCATGCAGACTCCCAAGCCTCGGAAACCAGATGGATCATCTGATGATAGTGTCCAAAAAATTCTACTTCATTCACTCCGATCCTGTTACAAAAGTTTATTGATATCCCTGTACCGTTGACAGGCTGGCATGGGAGCTCTGAGGTGTTTGCCGCACCTGCTGATCCCAAGCAAGTGAACATTAAGTACTAAAGGGACACATTATGTTTTCAAGAAAGAAGGGGGAAAACTACTCTTATTTAAAAACCAGAGCCCAATCTTTCCATTGTTAGCAGTACCATTCTGCACTTACTTTTCTCCAAAAAAATAATTGCAGAAAAACCAGAACTACTTCCTGTGCAAGACTGCACTCGTCGGAAGTTTGGGCAGAAAAA